GGACGGTGTGGGGGTAGGGGCGTGTCTGGGGGGGGTGTGGGGGTAGGGGCGGGTCTGGGGGGGGGTGCGGGGGTAGAGGCGGGTGTGGGGGGGGTGCGGGGGTAGGGGCGGGTGTGGGGGGGGTGTGGGGGTAGGGGCGGGTGTGGGGGGGGTGGGTGTGAGGGTAGGGGTGGGTGTGGGGGGAGTGTGGGGGGGGTGTGGGGGTAGGGGCGGGTGTGGGGGGGTGTGGGGGGGTGGGTGTGAGGGTAGGGGTGGGTGTGGGGGGAGTGTGGGGGGGGTGTGGGGGGGTAGGGGCGGGTCTGGGGGGGTGGGAGGGTCGGGCAGCTTCATCAGGAACCAGCCTTGATCGTTATCGCCGTCACGTTCCACAGACCAAACGGCATCTCAGCCAATCCCCTTGAGACGACCCCAGGCGAACCTCGCCAGGAGGTCGGACCAAGACTTGGACGTCACTCCTGGCCACCGCCACCATCAGCAGCAGCAGCAGCAGCAGCAAGAGTTGCAGAGTTCGGGAAGTGAGACTGATATTGAGGATTTGGAGGTGGAGCAAGGAGTTGGGGGAGAAGGAGGAGGAGGTTGCAAAGCTGACGAAGGTGAATCCGTGAAATTGACAGCGAAACTCCCTCAACAAGCCTCAGGGTTTCACATGAACAGCGACACGGACATTGAAGAGGATGCTGGAGATGGTGGTGACGGCGGCGGTGGCGGTGGCGGCGGTGGCGGTGGCAGTGGTGGTGGTGGTGACGGCGGTGGTGGTGGCAGCGGTGGCGGTGGTGACGGCGGTGGTGGTGGCGGTGGCGGCAAAGGTAAGGCGCCTGCTGGTTGTGAACGCGCTTCTGGGGAGAGGCGGCCGGGTGGCACTGGGAGGGGAGAGACGCCTGTGAGCCGGCGCTGCTGAGAGCCAGTCCAGGTTTCAGCCGCACAGCCACTGGGATTACGGTGGGGACTCATAGACTCGCTCAGAGAGCCATCGACTCGATCAGAGAGTCATAGACTCGCTCAGAGAGTCATAGACTCGCTCAGAGAGTCATGGACTCACACAGAGAGCCATAGACTCACACAGAGAGCCATAGACTCACTCAGAGAGCCATAGACTTGCTCGGGAAGCCATAGACTCACTCAGAGAGCCATAGACTTGCTCAGGAAGCCATAGACTCACTCAGAGAGCCATAGACTCACTCAGAGAGCCATAGACTCACTCAGAGAGCCATAGACTCACACAGAGAGTCATAGACTCACTCAGAGAGCCATAGACTCACTCAGAGAGCCATAGACTCGCTCAGAGAGCCATAGACTCACTCAGAGAGCCATAGACTAAATGATTTGAAGAAGCGACATAGCCAACAAAAATTCTAACTCAACCCAGTGACTCATCACCATCACCACCATCATCACGTGGCCACTGGGGATACAAAGGCGGCCGGGCGTGGTAAGTGGTGGCCACCCACCGCATCGTGCCGGACCTTCAATCGGTGGTGCTGCTACTCGCTAACAGCACTTGCCCCAACATTATGCTGAAGGCTACACGGGGGGATCTTTGTCTTTGTATCTGGGATGACGATTCAGTGGCTCAAGCTATTGCTGGTGCTGCTGGTGCTGCAAGTCCTGAGGACACGGATCAAGATGACGACAGCGAAGATGATGTTCACTTGCTGGGTGAGACCCCACACATCGCCCAACTCCACACACCACCCAGCCTGGGTTCGATACCCGACTGGGGCAACTTTGTATGATTCTCCCCCTTGCTTGGCAGAGCGAGAGTGAGTGTGAACTCCCCCTGTTCTACAGAGTGAGTGTGTGTAGTTTGTGTGATCTCCCCGTGTTCTACAGAGTGAGTGAGTGGAGTTTGTATGATCTCCCCCTGTTCTACAGAGTGAGTGAGTGGAGTTTGTATGATCTCCCCCTGTTCTACAGAGTGAGTGAGTGGAGTTTGTGTGATCTCCCCCTGTTCTACAGAGTGAGTTGAGTTTGTATGATCTCCCCCTGTTTTGCAGAGCGAGAGTGAGTGGAGTTTGTATGATCTCCCCCTGTTCTATAGAGTGAGTGAGTGGAGTTTGTATGATCTCCCCCTGTTCTATAGAGTGAGTGAGTGGAGTTTGTATGATCTCCCCCTGTTCTATAGAGTGAGTGAGTGGAGTTTGTATGATTTACCCCTGTTCTACAGAGTGAGTGAGTGGAGTTTGTATGATCTCCCCCTGTTCTACAGAGTGAGTGAGTGGAGTTTGTATGATCTCCCCCTGTTCTACAGAATGAGTGAGTGGAGTTTGTAAGGTCTTGAATGAGTGCGTACAACAGCTTGCTGCGCTACGTATCCAGCGTCCCGAGTTCAATTCCCGCTCACGGCCTTTGTCTCCCCAGTGGCGATGTTTACACCCCCCACCAGGTACTCATTTGAGGCTGAGTCGACCTAGGGAAGGCCCAGGACCGGTTCAGATAATCTCCCGTGAGCGGGAATCAGATTCGTAGCACAGCGCGCTGACCACTCGCTCGCACGACGTCACTCTGTGTGGGTTGTTCTGTTGCTGCAGGTGGATGGATCCGCCAGCCGGGAGCCCGAGTAGAGGCAGGGCTAGAAGCAGAACTGGGGGCAGTGCTGCACCAGGAGTCCTCTCCTCAGAGCATCTCAGACATGCCGACTCAGCATTTCCCCTGCATCGATGAGGTGTGTGTGTGTGTGCGACATCGCCACTCGGGGAGAGAAAGGCGCTCGGGCCTGGCGTTGGCCACCCACCCCCTCGTTGCGCTGTGTGCTGGCGTTAGTAGGTGCCGCTCGCTAACAGCGCTCGCCCCGGCAGCTTCAGTGAGCTACATTGGTGGGTCTTCATCTTGAATGTGCATTATGCGAGCTGTCACGGTCAGCGATGGTGTTGGTGCATCTGCCAGTCACCTGGGTCTGTCCTATGATCTCACAGTGACCCTTTCACCATTCCACCAATTTTTACTATTTTAATTTTACCAGTTGTAAGGACCCCACTGAGCTACGTAGCTCAAATGATCGCTCAACGAAGTGGCTTATCACGTGGAAATTTATAGCAGCCAAATACTCTAAACGCGTGCTGTTGAGTCTAGATGTGGAGGGGAAAACCGGAGGGCCCGGAGAAAAATCCACGAGATCACGGGGAGAGAGAGAGAGAAAGACACCACAAATTTCAAATATATTGGTGCCAGGGTTGGGTTCTGACCCACGACCAATGATGGAGCCAGGATTTTCAAGGAGGGGGGGCAACCCCTCCACAGAGGTCGCAACCGGGTACCCGATACCCGGCTACCCGTACCCGGCTGGGTAGGGTCGCAAATGGGTACCCGTACCCAGCTGGGTACGGGTACGGGTAGCCTTTTGCGACCCTGGTGCGGCCGGGTACGGGTATGGGTAGGCCGTGAGTCACTGGTGAGTAACCGTTTGTCACTCATTTCGGGTAGAGTACGGGTACGGGTAGGGTACGGGTACCCATTTGCGACCCTGGTGTGGCCGGGTACGGGTACCGGTAAGGAATCAAAACCTGTTTGCGACTTCTGCCCCTCCAGCAATGAAAAATGATCGGAGTTGTTATTAAGTAAGGACTACCTGTACTGGCAAAACGTCACGGTACTGGAATTGTAAATGTTGTAGTGGGTTTTACTTTCCGGCGTGCTGAACCAGTAAGTAATTGGCACGATTTGTTTACGTGACAAACTTCTCTAGTTGGGTGGTGGCGGGCGGGGTTAACGACACATTTATATTTACGTGATCTCACCCAAAACCTGTATTGTGGATTATTATGAAAGTTGGCATTTTTCCGCTGTTGGTGCTGTGATTGCTGTGGCTGATGCGTACATGTGTGTGTGTGTTGATGGCGTAGCGGTTAGTGCTACGAACCCAGTGACGGCCAAAATTCAGTGACAATTATCTTAACCGGTCCTGGGCCTCCCCTAGGTCGACTTGGCGTCAAATGAGTACCTGGTGCGGTGTGGGGTAAACATCGCCACTGGGGAGACAAAGTTGGCCAGGCATGGTGCTGGCCACCCTCCCCCTCGTGTACCGCAGTGCCGGCCTGCATAGGTCCTGCTCACTAACCGCACTTGGCCCAACAGTCTGTTAAGGCTACGTGGGGGATCTTTGTCTTTGTTGCAGGTGGAGACGCAGGCGTACGTCTATCCCAAGCAAAGTCATTGGACCTCGCTCTTTCCCAACTCTTCAAACTCTTCCACGCAGCCCTGCGGCACAGGTACATGGACAAACTCCTTGGTGTGTGTCTCTCTGTCTGTGGAGGAGGCTCGTGAAGGACGCTGCTACTGGGCAGTTGGAGGCAGTCGCCCTCCAGCAACAGCGGAGGGCAGAGGAGTGACGCTCACAACAACGAGCGGAGCGCCGGGTGGATAAAATACAGCAAATTGGCACAGTAGGGGGCACAGTAGGGGGCACAGGTGATGCATCGGCCAGTCATCTCAGTCAGTCAACCCATGGCACCTGGGTCAGTCCCGTGACCTGCTAGCGGGCGTTCGACACTTCACATGGCCTTAAAGTGCATATAGCCTGGCACAAGCGCTGTGGTGACATCACCACCACTTAGTGGTGAATGGCGGTTGTTGTTGTTGTTGGGGGTTCATAATGGCCATGTCAGAGACATTGCTGAGGTTGTACTGTTGAATTCTTGGGTTCGAAACCCTGCATCTGGGTGTCTTAGGCGAACTAAAAACTAAACTAAACTACTTTTATTTGACCAGGTAAGGGCCCACTAAGCTATATAGCTCTTCTTCAGAAGCGATCTGGCCACAAATGGTAGCGCAACGAAGCGGCTTATCGCACATTTACAGCAGACAAATACTCTAAACGCGTGACGTTGATTCCAAATGGGAAGGGAAAAACCAGAGGACCCGGAGAAAAATCCCCGCGAACACGGGGAGAGTCATGCAAACTCCAAATATACAGCAGCAGGCGTCAGGGTCGGGATCGAACCCACGACCTCCTGCCTACCAGGCGAGGCAGTTAACATCTCCTAGCCACCGTGATGATGATGAGAGAGAGACGCAAACTCTAAATATACAGCAGCAGCAGGCGTCAGGGTCGGGATCGAAGTTAACATCTTGCCATTGCGGCATCTTTAGGGGGTTCATCATGGCTGTGTCAGGTTCACAATGGCCTTGTTTGATTCATAATGGCCATGTTTGATTCATGATGGCCGTGTTGGAGATGCTCACCCAGAAGCGTTAAGAAACTGGGTTCGAGCCCTGGGTCTGGGTGTCTTTTATAAACTCGTACTGTCTGTGTCGGAGTATAAAGTAATTACTCTCAAACTTAAATTTCTGCAACTAATACCCTATCTGTGCCTCCACACACACACACACACACCCCAACATACTAACACACACACGCGTAAACACACACACACACACACCTCAACATACACATTCACACACGCACACATACACCCACTGTGGAACGATATCCACCACCCTTACACGGCCTACCAACGTTCCCACCCACAAAACCCATCCAGGCTCCCCATCCCATCCCCCGCCATCATCAGCATCACCACCATCAACATCATCAGCACTGCCAATGGCATCAGAAACATCCCCGTCATCATCATCGTCGTCCCTCGACGAGACGCAGCCGATGGAGCAGTACGTCGGCAACAAACGGCAAGAAACAGCTGCCGTGTCTCCCGCCACCGACGCCTGCCACTTTGACGACTGCGAGCCCACGCAGCCCGTGGAGCGGTTATTCGGCGTCGGTAACGACCGCGAGATTTCGCCGGGCACTAGCGGCGGTTGGGAGGTGGCGACGGCGTCGGCGCGCCGAGCGAGCAGAGGGCGCCTGTCCAAAAGCCGGAGGTCGAGGGCGGAAGTCTCGGTGGAGGTGCCGCCTTCGGGGGCGAGGGGCGGCCGAGGCGTGGGGGAGGAGGAGGTGGGCGGGGAGGCGGCGTTGGAGGCGGCAGATGAGACGCTCGGTCCGCAGGGCGAACTCCCGCGCGCTTCCAAGGAAGCGGGAGACGTCGGCACGCCGTCGACGGAGGAGGCCGAAGGTGGCGGATCGCTCGGCGGAGATTCTGGTGGCCCGGCGAATCTTAGAGACGGTGGAGACGGCGCGGCGGCGGCGGCGCTGGTGGAGAAGAGAGACCGCGGAGAGAAGGAGACGGATGCAGGTGGCGGTTTGATGAACGCGGAAGGCGTGAACTCGGCCTCGACCACGGGAAATCCCGAGGGTGTTGAGACCGCAAGCTCTGACGACGACGAGACGATCGACTTGGACGCCGAGATACCGGCAGAGTCGCGTGAAGTTGAACCGACGGGAGGTGACGAGCCGCTTCGCTGCGACACCGGCGGGCAGTCGACGGACCCCGCCGCGGGAAGTTCAGAGGGGGGACGAGAAGCCGGGGCAGGAGGAGGAGTGTCGGGGGAAACCACGGCTAAGACGCTTTCCCTGACAACTGAAAGGCCTGCGGAAGATCCGAAGGCTGATGGAGACGGTGAAAAGACTGCGACTGAGAACGAAGATTCTCTGTCAGGCACCGCGGCCGGGTGCCCGTCGGCCGGCGGGGAAGATCGCGGGCGCGAGGGGGCGTCCACGCTGACGGACGCCGCTTTGCTCGGCCCGCGAAGCGCGTCGACGGAAACCGGCGACGCCGTAGAGAAGCCGACCGAGAGGCAGGGTGCCTCCCCGCCGCCGCCGCAAACCGCCGTGCCACCGACTCCTGCGGGCAACGGAGAAGAGGTACCGCCAGCAGCGGAGAATAATACGGCCGGATCATTGCCACCGGGGATCCCGTCGTCTTCGAAGCGAGGAGGACGCCTTGGAGGGAAGTCGTCGGGCAAGACAGGCGTCCCGCGAGAGCGCGAAACGGCGGGGGGCTCCGCGACGGGCGGAGCGCATGAAGCGGCGGCAGCGGCGGTCGTCGAGGGAGAGACACGGCTGCCCCCCGAGGTCGAACCCCCGGGAACTTCGAAGAAACCCGGAAGGAAGTCGGCAAGGAAGCGGAATGACTTGGAAACGGCGGCGGCCTCCGGAGAGGCGAAGGGGAACTCCGACGTCCCGTCGACGGCGGTCGGGGCGGAGACGCGGCACCCAGACGCCAGACGCCCGGAAGCTCCGAAGAAACTAGAAAGGCCCTCGGCGAAGACTAAAGGCGACTTGTTCGGGTCGGAGACTTGGGTGGCTCCGGTCGAGGGCACGGGGCGCGACGAGCTGATGGCGGGGGTTGAGGAGGCCGCTCGAGCCGCCGAACCTGATCGCCCGGAAACTCTGAAGAAGGTCGGAAAGGCGTCGACGGGCGAGAGAGAGTCGCCGGGAGAGGCGAGAGATGGCGGAGATCCGCCGTCGGAGGATGGAGAGGAAACGCGAGAGCGCCGCACGGAATGTCCGGAAAGTTCTAAGATACTCGGGAGGAAGCGTTCGGCGGAGGATGGAGACGGCGCTCCGCGGGGAGAGTGCGGGCGCTCGGGAGACGCCGAGGAAGCGAGACTCGGCGGCATCGGTGACGGCGGCGGTGGCAGCGCCGACGGTGGATCGTCGGCCGAGCCTTCGTCGCCCGCGGGGAGAAATGCGCCACGGCGTTCCGCCAGGACTCCGAGCGCGGGACGAGGCGGCAGGAAGCCCGCGACCGCCAAGAGGGGCGGCACGGCCGCACCGCCGCCAGAACCGGGAACACAACCAGAGCCGCCGAGGTCGAGACGCCAGCGGAGTTTGACGGTGGTGATGAAGCGACTGGCCAAGGTGACGGGTGCCGAGCTTCCGGAGGATCACGGGGAGGAGGAGGAGGAGGAAGGTGCTCATGTGGAAGCTGCTGGGACCGTTGAACCTCTGGCTGAAGCATCGAACCAAAGAGACGTTAATCCAGGTGGGTGTACGTATCGTACGCGGATTATCTGTAAGTCTGTGTGTGTGCCTCTGTGGGGAGCGGTAGTGTGGTGGTTAGCGCTACGCTGCGCTACGAACCTGGTGACCCGGATTCGATTCCCGCTTACGGCAAACACCAGTGACGATTATCTGATTCGGTCCTGGACCTCCCCTAGGTCGACTCAGCCTCCAATGAGTACCTGGGGCGATGTGTAAACACCTCCTCATGTGCCACAGTGCCGGCCTTCACAGGTGCTGCTGCTGCTACTCGCTAACAGCACTTGGCCCTACAGTCTGTTAAGGCTGTACTGGGGATCTTTGTATCTGTGTGTATTGGGGGTGGGGGGAGCGGTGGTTCAGTGGTTGGTGTACCACGCTACAAACCCGGCGACCCAAATTCGTGGGTGCTCGCTAACAGCACTTGCCCCAGCAACCTGTGTAGGCCACACTGGTCGTCTATGTCTTTGCCATCCCCAGGTCACCCCTCGCCCAGCACTCGTAGGATTGGCCAAAGGAGGACAGCAGCCGGGAGGTCAAAGGTCGCCAGTTCAGAGGATGACGCCACAGAGCAGGTTGGACGGGTGGTGGAGGTGAGTGAGCGACCACGGGGAGAGAGAGACGCAAACTCCACATATACGGCAGCAGGCGTCAGGGACGGGATCTAACCCATGACCTCCTGTATAGTATAAAGGATAAAAGAGGAAAATTGCATAGAAATAAGTTGAATGGCGGATGAGGATAGGGCAGTAAATAGAATAGCGGATAAGGGGATTGTGCAATTGTGAAATTAGCGGATAAGTTGAATGGCAGATAGCATGATTTATGCTCTTTGTTTTACAGGATGTCCCCATATCCAGCAGCATGGATCGGAAAACCCGAGCCAAGCAGAAAGCAGCGACGGCAACATCGGCGGCAGTGGCAGTCGAGTCAAGCGGAGGGGCAGGAAGTGACGTCGCCACAGCCCCACGTGACGACAAGACAGGAAGTGACGTCGCCAGAACCCCATGTGACTCCAGGACAGGAAGTGACGTCGCCACAGCCCCACGCGACGACAAGACAGGAAGTGACGTCGCCAGAGCCCCATGTCACGACAGGACAGGAAGTAACGTCGCCACAGCCCCACACGACGACAAGACAGGAAGTGACGTCGCCCCACGCAACGCCAGGACAGGAAGTGACGTCGCCAAGGCCCGAGGCAACGTGCGGCGTGGTAGAAATCCGCGGAACAGCGCCGCCGCGACAGGAGGTGACGCCGGCAGTGACGCCGGCAGTGACGCCGTCGACGCAGGAAGCAGCGGCGCCGAGACGGGAACCAACGTCGTTGCGGCAGAAAGTGATGTCACAGCAGTGGGAAGCGGCGTCGGCGATGCCGTGCGCACGGAAAGTGTCGCCCCCGGGACGGGAAGCGAAGCGGCGGCGGCGGCCACTCCACGGACCGGCAAGGTGGCCCAGGGAAGGGCTGGAGGCCGGGCAAAGGGCGCCGCGACACCACAGAGGAGGAGGAGGAGGACGCGGGCCGGCGGCGACGATGATGACGGCGGTGACGGCGATGACGAGACAAATGGCGCGCTGGCGCGGGGAGGAGAGGTCCACCTCGTCATCTGGCCAGATGATCCCAGAGGTCGGGGGGTCGGCAGCGGTCATCAAGGGTCAGCCGAGGTGGTGGAAGGGCAGGAGCGGCGACAGCGGGGGGCAGGGGGGGGCAGGGGACGAGCATGGGCGGTGGAGGCGGAGAAGGAGGTGGTGGAGGCGGTGGTGGAGGAGGCGGTGGAGGCGGCGGTGGATAGCGGTGGTGGAGGTGCGGACGAGACAAAGGAAGTAGAAACAAGTGAGTCCCGTCGTCGTCGTCGTCATCGTTGTTGTTTCCATGAGCATCACCACGGCGGCGTTCGTGGTGTAGATGATAGTTGGTGAGACAAGAGATTGACACGTAGTGGGTATGCTCAGCTAATGTTACGGTTCGTAGTCGATCTATTTCAGGGTTGGGCCGCGTAGTGACCGTCTCGCCAGATTGTTTTGTCGGGACGCCCTCCACCACCGACTAATGACAGCCAATCAAATTAAACCGTCACGCGGTGGGCAGGCGTTTAAAGACGTGGCGATTATGATTGTTTCAGCTCACTCACTGACCTACCCACCCAATCACTCACCCACCCACTCACTCACCCCCCCACCCACTCACCCACCCACTCATGCATTCACTCACCCACCCACTCAATCACCCACCCACTCAGCCACTCACTCACCCACCCACTGACTCACTCACTCACTCACCCACTCACTCACCTACTCACCTGCTCAGCCACTTAGACGGTGGAGGGTTCTCAAACATCACCGGATCGCCACAGAGTGGCTTAACCCCCCCCACCCCAAACGATCACTTATGAATCAAGTCTAAGATCTGTTTTCATGATCTCCCTGTCACTAGAAGCGGAAAGCGGTGGGGGCGGGGGAACCGCACCACAGGAGGAAACCCGGCGGAGGCGGCGAGGTCGCCCACAGCAACAGCCGGTGGCCCCGCAGGAGGTGCCGCCCCCCTTGGCTGCCTCCCACAATGCCGCGGGGCAGGAAGAGGGTAGCAGTGATGCTGCCACCGCTACTGCTGCCAGTGATGATGGAGACGGTGGCGATGGTGCGGGAGGTGTGACGATAGTAAGTGGAATCAGTACTGACGTTACACAACAGTACTCAGTCCCCGGTTGATTTATTAAATTATTACAGTCAACAAAATCCCACCTAAGCCCCCCCCCCTCCCCACCCTTTCTCCCCCCCCACCCCACACAGCCCCCCCTCACGCTGTCCACCCGGAAGAGACGTGGGGCCACGGAGCAGCCGACAGCGCCGCAGAAATCCCGTCGGAATTCCAGGAAACCGGGAACGTCGGCAACGTCAGGAACGTCCCAAGCCACCGACGCTCCGGGAACGCCGCAGGGGAGCGGAGGGCCACCGGGAAACTCGGGAACGCCGGAAGGAACGCCGCAGGGGCGAGGGGCATCGGGAAACTCGGGAACGCCGGAAGGAACGCCGCAGGGGCGAGGGGCATCGGGAAACTCGGGAACGCCGGAAGGAACGCCGCAGGGGCGAGGGGCATCGGGAAACTCGGGAACGCCGGAAGGAACGCCGCAGGGGCGAGGGGCATCGGGAAACTCGGGAACGCCGGAAATTCCTCGGAGGACAGGAACGCCGCAGGGGCGAGGAGCGGCATCGAGAAATTCGGGAACGCCGGAAATTCCGCAGAGGCCAGGAACGCCGCAGGGGAGCAGAGGGGCATCGGGAAACTCGGGAACGCCGACAACGCCGGGAATTTCAGGAGGGCGAGGAACGCCGCGGTCTGCCCGCAATCCCAGGGGAGACGTTCCCAAGGTGAGATTCTCCCTATGCGAGCGTGGCATGTGGGCAGACTCGTATGTTTGTACGAATGAGTGTTCTTTTCGCACTGCAACGTAGCTGGGTGTGCACAGTTCAATTCACTTGCTGTGTGTGTGAGCGTGTGAGCGTGTGAGTGTGTGAGGGGGCGCCATGGTGGTGAGATGGATAGCAGATGTTGACCACCTCGCCTGGTATGCAGGCTGTCGTGGGTTCGATCCCAATCCTGACACCTGCTGCTGTATATTTGGAGTCTGTGTCTCTCTCTCATCATCATCACGGTGGCTATGAGATGTTGACTACCTCGCCTGGTATACAGGAGGTCGTGGGTTCATTCACGACCCTGACACCTGCTGCTGTATATTTGGAGTCTGTGTCTCTCTCTCATCATCATCACGGTGGATAGGAGATGTTAACTACCTCGCCTGGTATACAGGAGGTCGTGGGTTCGATCCCGACCCTGACGACGCCTGCTGCTGCTGTATATTTGGAGTCTGTGTCTCTCTCTCATCATCATCACGGTGGCTAGGAGATGTTAACTCCCTCGCCTGGTATACAGGAGGTCGTGGGTTCGATCACGACCCTGACGCCTGCTGCTGTATATTTGGAGTCTCCGTGTCTCTCTCCTCGTGGTCGCGTGGAATTTTCTCCGGGTTCTCCGGTTTTCCCCTCGACATTATAGAAGAATGCGTCAAGAGTATTTGTTCACGTGTGCGTGCATCTGCCTATTTGGCTGCTGTAAATTTCCACTTGATAAGCCGCTTCGTTGAGCATTTATTTGTGACCAGGTCGCTTCTGAAAAAGAGCTGCATATCTCACTGGGCCTTACGTGTTAAAAATAAACAAAAAATTTGGAAAACTAAACAATTGTTAGTGAGTTGTGTAGTAAACATCACCACTGGGGAGACAAAGGCGGCCGGGCGTGGTGCTGGCCACCCACCTCCTCGTGCACTGTGCCGGCCTTCATAGGTGCTCGCTAACAGTACTTGCTCCCAAAAGTCTGTTCAGGTATACGGGGGATCTTTGTTTTTGTAGCCCTCTGTATGCGCATATCTGCTGCAGGTGGCGTTCACGGGTGCGTACAACCGTCTCTGTCTCTGTGTATCTTTACTTATCGCTGTGTGTGTATCGCACCCCAAGAACAGCGTAGCGCAGACGGATAAAACGCAGCAAGTTAGCACAGTAGGGGGCACAGGTGGTGCATCGGCCAGTCATCTCAGTCAGTCAACCTACGGCACCTGGGGTCTGTGCCGTGATCTCCTGCCAGCAGCGAACCTTCGACACTTTGCGTGGTCTCCGAGTGCACCTAGTCTGGCACAGGCACCGTGGTGATGTCACCGCAGAGGTCGCAGACGGGTTTTGATTCCTTACCCGTACCCGGCCGCACCAGGGTCGCAAATGGGTACCCGTTCCCTACCCATACCCTACCCGAAATGAGTGACAAACGGTTACTCACCAGTGACTCACGGCCTACCCGTACTCGGCCGCACCAGGGTCGCAAACGGCTACCCGTACCCGGCCGGGTACGGGTAGCCGGGTATCGGGTAGGGTACGGGTATCGGGTACCCGGTTGCGACCTCTGTGTCACCGTCACCTGTCGTTGTTGTATCTCTGTGTACGTAATTCTCCATTTGTACCCGCGTGTGCACGTGCGTGCCCGGCGTGTGCACGTGCTCGCCCGCGTGTGTAACCTACCTCTCCGTGCGTACCGGCGGCAGGTGGCGTTCACGGGAGTGGCGGAGCTGGAGGCGCTGGAGCAGCGCGTGCGGGCGCTGGGCTGGGCCGTGAGCGCCAGCGCGCGCGACTGCTCCCACCTCGTCACCGACCGCGTGTGCCGCACCGTCAAGATGCTGTGCGCCGTCGCCAGGGGCGTGCCCGTCGTCACGCCCGCCTGGATCCAGCAGGTGCCGCGGGTTGTGCGGGCGGGCAAGGTGGTGGTAGCAGCACGTCGGTGATGCTCGGGCCTTGGGTTTATTACCTTACTGGGGCGTCTTTCTGTGGAGTTTGTGTGATCTCCCCCTGTTCTACAGAGTGAGTGTAGTTTGTATGATCTCCCCCTGTTCTACAGAGTGAGTGGAGTTTGTATGATCTCCCACTGTTCTACAGAGTGAGTGGAGTTTGTGTGATCTCCCCCTGTTCTACAGAGTGAGTGAGTGGAGTTTGTATGATCTCCCCCTGTCCTACAGAGTGAGTGAGTGGAGTTTGTGTGATCTCCCCCTGTTCTACAGAGTGAGTGGAGTTTGTGTGATCTCCCCCTGTTCTACAGAGTGAGTGAGTGGAGTTTGTGTGATCTCCCCCTGTTCTACAGAGTGAGTGAGTGGAGTTTGTATGATCTCCCTCTGTTCTACAGAGTGAGTGAGTGGAGTTTGTATGATCTCCCTCTGTTCTACAGAGTGAGTGAGTGGAGTTTGTATGATCTCTCCCTGTTCTACAGAGTGAGTGAGTGGAGTTTGTATGATCTCCCCCTGTTCTACAGAGTGAGTGAGTGTAGTTTGTGTGATCTCCCCCTGTTCTACAGAGTGAGTGAGTGGAGTTTGTGTGATCTCCCCCTGTTCTACAGAGTGAGTGTAGTTTGTGTGATCTCCCCCTGTTCTACAGAGTGAGTGAGTGGAGTTTGTGTGATCTCCCCCTGTTCTACAGAGTGAGTGAGTGGAGTTTGTATGATCTCCCTCTGTTCTACAGAGTGAGTGAGTGGAGTTTGTATGATCTCTCCCTGTTCTACAGAGTGAGTGAGTGGAGTTTGTATGATCTCCCCCTGTTCTACAGAGTGAGTGAGTGTAGTTTGTGTGATCTCCCCCTGTTCTACAGAGTGAGTGAGTGTAGTTTGTGTGATCTCCCCCTGTTCTACAGAGTGAGTGTAGTTTGTGTGATCTCCCCCTGTTCTACAGAGTGAGTGAGTGGAGTTTGTATGATCTCCCCCTGTTCTACAGAGTGAGTGAGTGTAGTTTGTGTGATCTCCCCCTGTTCTACAGAGTGAGTGTAGTTTGTGTGATCTCCCCCTGTTCTACAGAGTGAGTGAGTGGAGTTTGTGTGATCTCCCCCTGTTCTACAGAGTGAGTGTAGTTTGTGTGATCTCCCCCTGTTCTACAGAGTGAGTGAGTGGAGTTTGTGTGATCTCCCCCTGTTCTACAGAGTGAGTCAGTGGAGTTTGTGTGATCTCCCCCTGTTCTACAGAGTGAGTGAGTGGAGTTTGTATGATCTCCCCCTGTTCTACATAGTGAGTGAGTGGAGTTTGTATGATCTCCCCCTGTTCTACAGAGTGAGTGAGTGGAGTTTGTAGGATCTCCCCCTGTTCTACAGAGTGAGTGAGTGTAGTTTGTGTGATCTCCCCCTGTTCTACAGAGTGAGTGAGTGGCGTTTGTGTGATCTCCCCCTGTTCTACAGAGTGAGTGTAGTTTGTGTGATCTCCCCCTGTTCTACAGAGTGAGTGAGTGGAGTTTGTGTGATCTCCCCCTGTTCTACAGAGTGAGTGAGTGTAGTTTGTGTGATCTCCCCCTGTTCTACAGAGTGAGTGAGTGGAGTTTGTGTGATCTCCCCCTGTTCTACAGAGTGAGTGAGTGGAGTTTGTGTGATCTCCCCCTGTTCTACAGAGTGAGTGAGTGGAGTTTGTATGATCTTTCCCTGTTCTACAGAGTGAGTGAGTGGAGTTTGTGTGATCTCCCCCTGTTCTGCAGAGTGGGTGAGTGGAGTTTGTATGATCTCTCCCTGTTCTACAGAGTGAGTGAGTGGAGTTTGTATGATCTCCCCCTGTTCTACAGAGTGAGTTGAGCTCATGCCCCAAAAGTTATGTTCAAGGCTACACAGGGGACATTTGTCTTTGTCAGTGTGAGCAGAGTGGCCGCGTGGTGGACAGCGATGCGTTCATCGTGAGCGACGAGGAGCAAGAGGCCAAGTTCCACTTCCGGCTCAGAGAGTCGCTCCTTGCGGCGAGAGAGAGGCCGCTGTTCCACGTGGGTGACGCACGCACGCACACACACGTACACACACGTACACACACACACGTACACACGCACACACACACACGTACACACGCACACACACACACGTACACACACACACGTACACACACACACGTACACACGCACACACACGCACGTACACACACACACGTACACACACACACACGTACACACGCACACACACACACGTACACACACGTACACACGCACACACACACACACGTACACACACGTACACACACGCACGTACACACACACACACGTACACACACACACGTACACACACACACGTACACACACGCACGTACACACACGCACGTACACACACACACGCATACATGTATGTACTGGCCTGCCCGGCTTGTGCCTGCAGGGCTGCCGCGTGCACGTGACCGCCGGAGTGAAGCCCGAGCCGGTCCACATGCGCGACATCGTGGAGTGCGGCGGGGCCACCTGGCTCCCCAAAGTGCCTCGCACTGCACAGGTACGGTGTGGGTGTGTGTGTACCTGTGTGTGTGTGTGTACCTGTGTGTGTGTGTACCCACGTGTGTGTACCTGTGTGTGTGTGTACCTGTGTGTGTGTACCTGTGTGTGTGTGTGTACCTGTGTGTGTGTGTGTACCCGCGTGTGTGTGTGTGTGTACCCACGTGTGTGTGAACCCACGTGTGTGTGTGTACCTGTGTGCATGTGTGTGTACTCACGTGTGTGTGTGTACTCACGTGTGTGTGTGTACTCGCGTGCGTGTGTGTACCTGTGTGTGTGTATTCGTGTGTATCCGTGTGTGTGTCTATCCGTGTGTGTGTATCCGTGTGTGTGTGTATGTGTGTATCCGTGTGTGTGTCTATCCGTGTGTGTGTGTGTGTATCCGTGTGTGTGTGCTCGTGTGTGTTTGTCCGTGTGTGTGTGTCCGCGTGTGTGTGTGTATCCGCGTGTGTGTGTATCCGTGTGTGTGTGTGTATCCGTGTGTGTGTGTGTATCCGTGTCCGTGTGTGTGTATCCGTGTGTGTGTGTAACCCGCGCGCGCGTGCACGAACCCCTTACCAGGCCGGACTGCTGGTGGTGTCGTGCCCTGAGGACTCTGTGCGTCTGCGCGATTGCCGCGGCGTTGACGTGGTGAGCGCCGAGCTCATCCTCACCGGCGTGCTCAGGCAGAGACTGGACGTTGACGCTCACCGCCTCAGCACCAGCCGCGTGAGAGCCGCCCACTCAAACCGCACCGTCACACCACGTGGTGTCGCTTGGACGTGGCGTCTGCACTTTTGTTTCAGGAGCGTTGCGCTGAACACGCACGGTGCCCACTATTACTGAGCAAGTCACAGCGTATTGGTCACCACGTGGCACTCATGAATCTCAACGTGCATCCTACACACTACACTATACACTCACCACTAGTATACTCAACACTACTACACTACACTATACACTCACCACTAGTACACTCAACACTAGTACACTCACCACTACTACACTCACCACTACACTCACCACTAGTACACTCAACACTAGTACACTCACCACTACTACACTCACCACTACACTCACCACAACTACACTCACCACTACACTCACCACTACACTCACCACTACACTCACCACTATACTCACCACTATACTCACCACTACTACACTCACCACTACACTCACCACTACACTCACTACTACACTCACCACTACACTCACCACTAGAACACTCACCACTACTACACTCACCACTACACTCACCACCACTACACTCACCACTACACTCACCACTACACTCTGTTGTTATGATGCTGCGCCGGTGTGACACCGCCAATACAATAAGACTCGATAACACTTTTGATTGGCGCTTGTTGGTTGGCGGACGGTGTGTGTGTGTGTCTACATCTCTGGACATTGTCCCCCTTGTTGTCGTCGCGGGGACAGGGAGACGAGGCAGACAGCTCGGACATCGATGGGGGCAGAGACGTAGAGCAGCGCGCACGCAAGCGCGCCAGCGTGCCGGCTGCGCGGGGAGCCCAGGTTGCCTCCAAACGCCGGCGCTGAAGACGACGATGACGACGATGAGGTGGTGGAGGTACAGGAGGTGGATGATGAAGATGATCATGAGGAGATGGAGGAGGTGGATGATGATGTTGATGATGATGGGACCATTCTGCGTGGGTGCGTGTGTCTGGGGTTGGATTGGGGAGCGGCGGTGCAGCGGTTAGCGCTGCGCTGTGTAATCCTGGGGAACCAAGTTCGATTCCCGCTCATGACCAGAGGTCGCAACCGGGTACCCGATACCCGTACCCTACCTGATACCCGGCTACCCGTACCCAGCCGGGTACGGGTACGGGTAGGCCGTGAGTCACTGGTGAGTAACCGTTTGTCACTCATTTTGGGTAGGGTACGGGTAGGGAACGGGTACCCGTACCCGGCCGGGTACGGGTACCCGTTTGCGACCCTGGTGCGGCCGGGTACGGGTACGGAATCAAAACCCGTTTGCGACCTCTGGTCTGGGGTTGGATTGGGGAGCGGCGGTGCAGCGGTTAGCGCTACGCTGTGTAATCTTGGCAAACCAAGTTCGATTCCCGCTCACGACCACCACCAACACCAGTGACGATACTCTGAACCGATTCTGGGCCTCCTCTCTGTCGGCTTGGCCTAAAATGAGTAGCTGGTGTGGTGTGTAAAAATCACCACTGGGGAGACAAAGGCGGCCGGTCGTGGTGCTGGCCACCCACCCCCTCGTGTGCCGTGCCGGCCTTCATACGTGTAGTTTGTATGTTATTGCAAAACGGAACCTATTTTGGTGTTTGGCATGTTAACACTTCCTGTTTTATTGCCAGAAAGGGTCCAAACCTCTTTAGATTTTTCATCATTTTTGATGCTGGCAACAAGTTCCCGTAGATATAACTGCTCGACACAAGGACATCGGTGCACCGATACTTACATTGGCAACAAACCCTCCACCTACATACAATATCACTGGTATTGGTCTAAAACGTCCCAGCGCTGAAAATATAATATAACTCAGCCGGGATCACACGGTAGCAGCGGCAGGGACATCACTGCCGCTACTGCATGGAGAACCTGGCAGGAACCTCCTGGAAAAAAGAGTCTTTCCAGGGCTAAACAAGTATCACAATAAATAATAATATTCACATCATTGTCCGTGTCTCTGTGTGTGTGGGAGCGGTGGTGTCGTGGGTTGGGGCGCCGTGCTACAAACCCGGCGACCCGGGTTCAATTCTCCGCTCCCGGCAAACACCAACGACGATGATCTGAATCGGTACCTGGGCCTCTCCCCTAAGTCTACTCAGCTTCCAATGAGTACCCGGTGCGGTGTGTTACCATCGCCGCTGGGGAGACAAAGGCGGCCGGGCGTGGTGTTGGCCACCCACCCCCTCGTGTGCCGTGCCGGCCTTCATAGGTGCTGCTCGCTAACAGCACTTGTCCCAACAGTCTGTTGAGGCTACATGGGGGAGTGGGTGGTCTTTGTATGTCCCAGGTCTGTATCGCGACAGACCTGGGACAGACATCTGTGTGCTGTTGATGATGATGATGAAAACAACAATGATATTACTATTTTCATTCTTGGTTCTTTCGGTAAAGTCAGGTCGAAGGGAAACAACAAAATACTACAAATGAAATAAACGACTGCAACGACGATCTGGACTGGTGTCTTCTTATGTGTTTCTCACTCTTCTTGGTTCTTTCGGTAAAGTCACGTAGAAGGGAAATAATAAAATAATGAAACATAGAATACAATTCTCACGACGTTTCGGGCACAACGCAAGCAGCCGTCCTCGGGTGAAGAACAGGTCTCTGTCGGAAAGACAGCGTCTGAATGAACAAGGAGCCCCTTTGTAACAACGAATGCTACAGGTCTTAGTTTCATCCAGCAGTGGTTCGTCTGCTTTGGGGGGGGAAGGGCCTCCGTTGTGGGCAGCAAAGACAAAGAAGTCGTAGCACTCGTTGATGCGCGACTCTGTAATGAGAGTCACGCTTCAAAGGGTCCAGCGTCGCGCCTAGACACTCGTCGGGACAGACTCAAAGGGTGTCAGTTCCAGAGGATCGTGGAGGCGCTCTCAGACACCCTGGAAATACCTGGTGCCCATCGTCAATGACTGAGGCTCACTGAGCCAGGCTAAGGCACCCTTAAGATCATTAGGTCCCAGTGTTAATGACTGAGGCTCACTGAGCCAGGCTAAGGCACCCTTAAGATGCTTGGGGCCCAGTGTTAATGCTTGAGACTTACTGAGCCAGGCTAAGGCACCCTTAAGATGCTTAGAGCCCAGTGTTAATGACTGAGGCTCACTGAGCCAGGCGAAGGCACCCTTAAGATCCTTAGGGCCCGGTGTTAATGCTTGAGGCTCACTGAGCCAGGCTAAGGTACCCTTAAGATCATTAGGGCCCAGTGTTAATGACTGAGGCTCACTGAGCCAGGCGAAGGCACCCTTAAGATCCTTAGGGCCCAGTGTCAATGACTGAGGCTCACTGAGCCAGGCGAAGGCACCCTTAAGATCATTAGGGCCCAGTGTCAATGACTGAGGCTCACTGAGCCATAGATCCTTAGGGCCCTGTGTTAATCATCGAGGCTCACTGAGTCACATGCAAGCTCTTATTGCGTCTGCATCGGATAAGGTCGCTGTTCGGACCAAACCATTGTCTGAGTAAAGTGGGGGGGGGGGGGGGTCGTGCCATGTGTCCTCTAAAGATAACGGGAACGCGGACGAAACCATTCGTTGACAATTATGGGGGGGGGGGGGAGTGCATCGTGCCAAGGGAACTTATTGGACTCTTCCATTCGATACGGCACTGGCATAAAGAGGAACACGCGCAGTAGAGAACACACACAGGGTAGAGACATCATCATCATCGCGTCGACCTTGGTGATGATGATTGACACTGAGAGAGACAGAGCAGAACGTTTGATTAGAGACAAAGTTGATCGATCTGAATATTAATTATTTAGTTTTGGCTAGTTACAGTTTTTGAGTGATTATCATTTTTTGCTTAATGCAGTATTTTTACCGCGAGCAATTCATTGCAAAAAAAATATTCGATTAAAAAAAAATATAAAAAAAATATATTTGTAAACCCCCCCTCTTGTCTCGTATTTTGTTAATGGTACAGTCCCATAGCGGGGAGCCGATGTCCGTTGACTCCGTTGATTAGAGCGCGGGCAATACCAAAGTGTGATTTCTGGAAGGGGGTGAGAGACAGAGAGAGAGAGAGGGGGGGGCGCGTGGTGGGAGGCTTTGTGGTTTTGGGGTTTGAGCGGCTTGGGTTTGGAACCGTGAGATTTGGGAAATTTGATGAAATCGCGGAAGTTTCACCCCCCGTCAATTCTGAGCTCTCACAGACACACCCCGAGTGCGTGTTCAACCAGCCATGAAAGCCTTCAGGTTAGTACATTCAGTCAAATCGCTTGTGTGTTTTTTTAAACTATAAATACATTAAATTTCGATTTAAAGCTTTCGTGACTGCAGGGATTCATCTTCTTGGTTCTTTCGGTAAAGTCGCGTAGAAGGGAAGTAATAAAATAATAAAAATAAAATATAATATAATTATTTTGTTACTTCTATAAATACATTACCCGCCAACTCACTAACAATGACCCGCGTACATCCAACACTTTCACACACTAATCTTTCGGTAAAGTCACGTGGGTATAAAATAAAAAAATAAATTAAATCACGACGTTTCGGGCGCTCACACACCAACCCATTCACCCACTCGCCGATTCACTCTCACCCATCCACATCGCTCACACGCCCACTCATTCACTCACTTACTCATTCACTCACTCACTCATTCACTCACTCATTCACTCACTCATTCACTCATTCATTCACTTACTCATTCACTCATTTACTCATTCACTCAGTCACCCATTCATTCACTCATTAACTCACTCATTCACTCACTCATTCACTCACTCATTCACTCAGTCACCCTTCATTCACTCATTAACTCACTCATTCACTTACTCATTCACTCACTCATTCATTCACTCATTCACCGACTCTACCCACCCGTCAACCCATCGATTCGCGTGTACATCCGCTGACCTATTCAATCACCCATTCACTCATTCACTCACTCATTCATTCGATCACCCACCCACCTTTCCACCCACCCATTCACGCACCCACTCACCTACTAACCGACGCACCCACTCACCTACTAACCGACCCACTCACCCACCTGCTCACCGACTCACCCAACCACTCACCCATAGAGTCACTCACCCACCCATCTCGTCACTCACTCATTCATTCACTCACTCACCCACCCACCTTTCCACCCACCCATTCACGCACCCACTCACCTACTAACCGACGCACTCACCCACCTACTAACCGACTCACCCAACCACTCACCCATCTCGTCACTCACCCACCCACTCACCCCCCCTACTCACACACAAGTCTGCGTCTCTCTCTCTCTGACCCTCTGCCCCTCTGACCCTCTGACCCTCTGCGTCTCTGCGCACTCTGTAGAGTTGGTTGCGCCGTGCCCTCGCTGCGCCGCACGAGGCTCTGGCTGTGGCTGTGCGCTGTGGCCTGGGTCTCCTGCGGAGTCGTCGTCATCCTCTTCGGCATCGTCTTCACTCCACACTCCACCAGCAGCAGCAAGTCACAACCAGGCCACGTCGTGACACCAACATCATACCACCACCACCAGCTCCACCACACCACTACCACCACCCCACTACCACACCACCACCGCCACCACTACCACATCACCACCAGCTTCTCACCACCACCATCACCACACCACCACCACACCACCACCAGCACCACTACCACACCACCACCACCAGCACCACTACCACACCACCAGCACCACCAGCACCACCACCACACCACCACCACACCACCACCACACCACCACCAGGACCACTACCACACCACCACCACCAGCACCACTACCACACCACCAGCACCACCACCACACCACCACCACACCACCACCACACCACCACCAGGACCACTACCACACCACCACCACCAGCACCACTACCACACCACCAGCACCACCACCACACCACCACCACACCACCACCACACCACCACCAGGACCACTACCACACCACCACCACCAGCACCACTACCACACCACCAGCACCACCACCACACCACCACCACGACCACTACCACACCACCACCACCAGCACCACTACCACACCACCAGCACCACCACCAGCACCACTACCACACCACCACCAGCAGCACTACCACACCAGCACCACTACCACACCACCAGCACCACTACCACACCACCACCCGCACCACCACACCACCACCACCACACCACCACCAGCACCACCACCACCAGCACCACCACCACCAGCACCAGCACCACCACCACCACACACACCACCACACCACCACCACCAGCACCACCACACCACCACCACTAGCACCACCACCACACCAGCACCAGGACTCGAGAGAGGGACCAGGGTTGAGGAGTCTCGTTTGCAAGAGTGACCTTGGGGGGGTGGGGGGTGGGGGGGTCATCAGTGAGCGAGTTGTGGTGAGAATGCTGCTACTGTGTGGTCTAGCCTAGGGGCACCCCCCGTGGCAGCTGGCCCTGTGTGTTGGCCTGCCAGGAGCTGTCATCTAAGAAATGTGGAACCGTGACGCCGGCCGGCGCACGATGGCCAAACTCTTGCGGATGGCATCACAGGATCCCTCGTGTAGCCCGTAACAGACTGTATAACACGTGTGTTCGCGACCAATATTACTCATAATCGACGCTTTTGGGTTTAGATCGCGTTATTTATAAATGTGTCGTAACCCTCCACCACCCGACACGGCCAATCAGTAAAAAAGTGTCACGTTGACAAAAGACAAAATAGTTCGCTGCTTTAGCCCACCGGTGTGTTGAAGCGTGAAACCACAACATTTTTTTAGAAATTTCGATTTAAAGCTTTCGTGACTGCAGAGATTCATCTTCTTGGTTCTTTCGGTAAAGTCACGTAGAAGGGAAATAATAAAATAATAAAAATAAAACATAATAAAATATTATTTTTATTAGGTTTTAAAATATGATGTTTAATTTGTATTATTTTATTATAATAAAATATTATATTTCGATTTAAAGATTTCGTGACTGCAGGGATTCATCTTCTTGGTTCTTTCGGTAAAGTCACGTAGAAGGGAAATAATAAAATAATACAAATTAAACATCATAAAATACAATTCTCACGACGTTTCGGCCACAACGCAAGCAGCCGTCCTCAGGTGAAGAACAGGGCTGTCGGAAAGACAGCGTCTGAATGAAACCCCCCAGGCTTGGAGCGTCTATTTAAGCCGCTCGCCCACCGCCAGGCACACACCCTCGCACGCGCACAGACTCGCTCGCTCGCCCCATCTCCCCGTGTCCCACCAACCCTGGCTCCCCCCCGCACCGCCACCCTGCCGCCTTGCAGGCGCTGCTCACAATGGCCGACGTCACGCGGGACGACCGCGGGCAACGTCACAAGGCCCACGTGACCACCAACACGTGGTCAGCAGCAGCAGCAGCTACTACAACAACAACAGCAACAACAACAACAGCAGCAGCAGAAACTTAACGGTGTTGGCGTGGAGGTGGCCATTTACAAAGGGTGAGATCAGTTGCAGTCTCAGCGTTCTCCTCTAACGGGATCGTCCATAAATGACGTCACGCACCTAGGGGGGGGGTCAGACATTTGTGACGATGTGTGACGAGGGGGGGGGGGTTGAGAAATGTGACGTCTCGGCGTGTCCCCCCGTGTCTCACCACGTGTCTCACCCCCCCTGTCTCACCCCGTGTGTCTCCCCGTGTCTCTCCCCGTGTCTCACCCCGCGTGTCTCCCCGTGTGTCTCCCCGCGTCTTACCCCGTGTCTCACCCCCCCTGTCTCTCCCCCTGTCTCATCCCGTGTCTCACCCCCCTGTCTCTCCCCGCGTCTCACCCCGTGTCTCACCCCCCCTGTCTCTCCCCGCGTCTCACCCCGTGTCTCACCCCCCCTGTCTCTCCCCGCGTCTCACCCCGTGTCTCACCCCCCCTGTCTCTCCCCGCGTCTCACCCCGTGTCTCACCCCCCCTGTCTCTCCCCGTGTCTCACCCCGTGTCTCACCCCCCCTGTCTCTCCCCGCGTCTCACCCCGTGTCTCACCCCCCCTGTCTCTCCCCGCGTCTCACCCCGTGTCTCACCCCCCCTGTCTCTCCCCGCGTCTCATCCCGTGTCTCACCCCCCCTGTCTCTCCCCGCGTCTCACCCCGTGTCTCACCCCCCCTGTCTCTCCCCGCGTCTCACCCCGTGTCTCACCCCCCCTGTCTCTCCCCGTGTCTCACCCCGTGTCTCACCCCCCCTGTCTCACCCCTGTCTCACCCCCCCTGTCTCTCCCCGCGTCTCACCCCGTGTCTCACCCCCCCTGTCTCTCCCCGCGTCTCATCCCGTGTCTCACCCCCCCTGTCTCTCCCCGCGTCTCATCCCGTGTCTCACCCCCCCTGTCTCTCCCCGCGTCTCACCCCGTGTCTCACCCCCCCTGTCTCTCCCCGCGTCTCATCCCGTGTCTCACCCCCCCTGTCTCTCCCCGCGTCTCACCCCGTGTCTCACCCCCCCTGTCTCTCCCCCGCGTCTCATCCCGTGTCTCACCCCCCCTGTCTCTCCCCGCGTCTCACCCCGTGTCTCACCCCCCCGTGTCTCACCCCCCCTGTCTCTCCCCGCGTCTCATCCCGTGTCTCACCCCCCCGTGTCTCACCCCGCGTCTCACCCCGTGTCTCACCCCCCCCGTGTCTCACCTCCCCTGTCTCTCCCCGCGTCTCACCCCGTGGCTCTCCCCCCCGTGTCTCTCCCCCCCGTGTCTCACCCCCCCTGTCTCTCCCCGCGTCTCATCCCGTGTCTCACCCCCCCTGTCTCTCCCCGCGTCTCACCCCGTGTCTCACCCCCCCGTGTCTCACCCCCCCTGTCTCTCCCCGCGTCTCACCCCGTGTCTCACCCCCCCGTGTCTCACCCCCCCTGTCTCTCCCCGCGTCTCATCCCGTGTCTCACCCCTCCGTGTCTCACCCCGCGTCTCACCCCGTGTCTCACCCCCCCGTGTCTCACCCCCCCTGTCTCTCCCCGCGTCTCACCCCGTGTCTCACCCCCCCCTGTCTCTCCCCGCGTCTCATCCCGTGTCTCACCCCCCCTGTCTCTCCCCGCGTCTCACCCCGTGTCTCACCCCCCGTGTCTCACCCCCCCTGTCTCTCCCCGCATCTCATCCCGTGTCTCACCCCCCCGTGTCTCACCCCGCGTCTCACCCCGTGTCTCACCCCCCCTTGTCTCACCACCCCTGTCTCTCCCCGCCTCTCGCCCCCTGTCTCACCCCCCCGTGTCTCACCCCCCCTGTCTCTCCCCGCGTCTCACCCCGTGTCTCACCCCCCCGTGTCTCACCCCCCCTGTCTCTCCCCGCGTCTCATCCCGTGTCTCACCCCCCCTGTCTCTCCCCGCGTCTCACCCCGTGTCTCACCCCCCCGTGTCTCACCCCCCCTGTCTCTCCCCGCGTCTCACCCCGTGTCTCACCCCCCCGTGTCTCACCCCCCCTGTCTCTCCCCGCGTCTCACCCCGTGTCTCACCCCCGCGTGTCTCACCCCCCCTGTCTCTCCCCGCGTCTCATCCCGCGTCTCACCCCCCCGTGTCTCACCCCCCCTGTCTCTCCCCGCGTCTCATCCCGTGTCTCACCCCCCCCGTGTCTCACCCCCCCCGTCTCTCCCCGTGTCTCATCCCGTGTCTCACCCCGTGTCTCACCCCCCCCGTCTCTCCCCGTGTCTCACCCCCCCTGTCTCTCCCCGTGTCTCACCCCGTGTCTCTCCCCGTGTCTCACCCCGTGTCTCACCCCCTGTCTCTCCCCGTGTCTCACCCCGTGTCTCACCCCCCCTGTCTCACCCCGTGTCTCCCCCCCCCTGTCTCTCCCCGTGTCTCACCCCGTGTGTCTCACCCCGTGTCTCACCCCGTGTGTCTCACCCCGTGTGTCTCACCCCCCCTGTCTCTCCCCGTGTCTCACCCCGTGTCTCACCCCGTGTCTCTCCCCGTGTCTCTCCCCGTGTCTCACCCCGTGTCTCACCCCCTGTCTCTCCCCGTGTCTCACCCCGTGTCTCACCCCCCCTGTCTCACCCCGTGTCTCACCCCCCCTGTCTCTCCCCGTGTCTCACCCCCCCCTGTCTCTCCCCGTGTCTCTCCCCGTGTCTCACCCCGTGTTTCACCCCCTGTCTCTCCCCGTGTCTCACCCCGTGTCTCACCCTCCCTGTCTCACCCCGTGTCTCACCCCCCCCTGTCTCTCCCCGTGTCTCACCCCCCCCCGTCTCTCCCCGTGTCTCTCCCCGTGTCTCACCCCGCGTGTCTCACCCCGTGTCTCTCCCCGTGTCTCACCCCGTGTCTCACCCCGTGTGTCTCACCCCGTGTCTCACCCCGTGTGTCTCACCCCGTGTGTCTCACCCCCCCTGTCTCTCCCCGTGTCTCACCCCGTGTCTCTCCCCGTGTCTCACCCCGTGTCTCACCCCCTGTCTCTCCCCGTGTCTCACCCCGTGTCTCACCCCCCCTGTCTCACCTCGTGTCTCACCCCCCCCTGTCTCTCCCCGTGTCTCACCCCCCCCCCTGTCTCTCCCCGTGTCTCTCCCCGTGTCTCACCCCGTGTCTCACCCCCTGTCTCTCCCCGTGTCTCACCCCGTGTCTCACCCCCCCTGTCTCACCCCTGTCTCACCCCCCCTGTCTCTCCCCGTGTCTCACCCCCCCTGTCTCTCCCCGTGTCTCTCCCCGTGTCTCACCCCGCGTGTCTCACCCCGTGTCTCTCCCCGTGTCTCACCCCGTGTCTCACCCCGTGTGTCTCACCCCGTGTGTCTCACCCCGTGTCTCACCCCGTGTGTCTCTCCGTGTCTCTCCCCGTGTCTCACCCCGTGTGTCTCTCCGTGTCTCTCCCCGTGTCTCACCCCGTGTGTCTCACCCCGTGTGTCTCACCCCGTGTGTCTCTCCGTGTCTCTCCCCGTGTCTCACCCCGTGTGTCTCCCCGTGTCTCCCCGTGTCTCACCCCGTGTCTCTCCCCGCGTCTCTCCCCGTGTCTCCCCGCGTCTCACCCCGTGTCTCTCCCCGCGTCTCACCCCGTGTCTCTCCCCGTGTGTCTCCCCGTGTGTCTCACCCCGCGTGTCTCCCCGCGTCTCACCCCGTGTCTCTCCCCGTGTCTCCCCCCGTGTCTCTCCCCGTGTCTCCCCGCGTCTCTCCCCGTGTCTCTTTCCCCGTGTCTCACCCCGTGTCTCTCCCCGTGTCTCACCCCCCCCCTGTCTCTCCCCGTGTCTCACCCCGTGTCTCACCCCGCGTGTCTCACCCCGTGTGTCTCACCCCGTGTCTCACCCCGTGTGTCTCACCCCGTGTGTCTCTCCGTGTCTCTCCCCGTGTGTCACCCCGTGTGTCTCCCCGTGTCTCCCCGTGTCTCTCTCCGTGTCTCTCCCCGTGTGTCTCCCCGTGTCTCTCCCCGTGTCTCTCCCCGTGTCTCACCCCGTGTCTCTCCCCGTGTCTCTCCCCGTGTGTCTCACCCCGTGTGTCTCACCCCGTGTGTCTCCCCGCGTCGTCTGCCAGGAGCGAGTCCCCTGCGGGGTGACGAGTGTCTCGGCGTGTCCCCGCGCTGTCTCCTGTCCCAGGACGCGCGTCTCCTCCCCTCGGCTGACGCGGTCGTCTTCCTGCACAGACACGTGCGCCGTGACCTGGCCAACCTCCCACTCGGGTGCGTCTCTCACACACAGACACACACACTGACACACACAGACACACAGTCACACACACACACAGATAGCTACACACACACACAGACACGTGCGCCGTGACCTGGCCAACCTCCCACTCGGGTGCGTCTCTCTCTCACACACAGACACACACACAGACACACACAGACACACACAGACACACACACAGACACACACACAGACACACACACAGACACACACAGGTAGCTACACACACACAGCTACACACACACACAGACAGACACACAGACACGTGCGCCGTGACCTGGCCAACCTCCCACACGGGTCCGTCTGTCTTACACACAACACACAGACACACACACAGACACACATAGGTACACACACACAGACACACACATACAGGTACACACACACACAACACACAAACACACACACAGACACACACACAGGTGCACACACACAGCTACACACACACAGGTATCCACACACACAGACACACACACACAACACACAGACACACACACACACAACACACAGCCACACACACAACACACAGCCACACACACAGGTGCACACACACAGGTACACACACAGAGACACACACACAGACACACAGGTATCCACACACAGCTACACATACACAGACACACACACAGCTACACACACACAGACACACACACACAGACACACACACAGCTACACACACACAGACACACACACAGCTACACACACATACAGCTGACGGCCCACTCATGAGACTGCCTTCAGCTGATACGGCTGTCCCATCGCCGAGCCAGCTGCCTCATGTTGGAGATGCTGATGGTGATGTTGATGCTGATGGTGATGTTGTTGCTGATGTTGTTGGTGATGTTGATGGTGATGTTGATGGAGACAGGAAACGGCCTCCGGGCCAGATCTGGGTGTGGGGCTGCATGGAGCCTCCTCCCTATGCTCACCTGCCCAGAGGTCTCCACACGGTCTTCAACTGGACACTCACCTACAGGTACACACACACAGGTACACACACACACACAGCTACACTCACCTACAGGTACACACACACACAGACACACACTCACCTACAGGTACACACAGACACTCACCTACAGGTACACACACACACACACAGACACACAGACACACACACACAGCTACACTCACCTACAGGTACACACACACACACAGACACACACACTCACCTACAGGTACACACACACACACACAGCTACACTCACCTACATGTACACACACTCACTCACCTACAGGTACACACACACACACAGACACACACACACACCTACAGGTACACTCACCTACAGGTACACACAGCTACACTCACCTACAGGTACACACACACACACAGCTACACTCACCTACAGGTACACACACACACACAGCTACACTCACCTACAGGTACACACACACACACAGCTACACTCACCTACAGGTACACACACACACACAGGTACACTCACACACAGACACACACTCACCTACAGGTACACACACACAGGTACACACACACACAGGTACAAGACAAAGATCCCCCGTATAGCCTGAACAGACTGTAGGGGCAAGTGCTGTTAGCGAGCACCTATGAAGGCCGGAACGGTACACGAGGGGGTGGGTGGCCAGCACCACGCCCGACCGCCTTTGTCTCCCTAGTGGCGATGTTTACACACCGCACCAGGTACTCATTTAAGGCTGAGTCGACCTAGGGGAGGCCCAGGACCGGTTCAGATAATCGTCACTGGTGTTAGCCGTGAGCGGGAATCGAACCCGGGTCGCCAGGTTCATAGCGCAGCGCGCTAACCGCTACACTACCGCTCCCCACCAGGTACACACACACAGACACACACTCACCTACAGGTACACACACACAGGTACACACACACAGACACACACTCACCTACAGGTACACACACACAGACACACACTCACCTACAGGTACACACACACAGACACACACTCACCTACAGGTACACACACACAGACACACACTCACCTACAGGTACACACACACAGACACACACTCACCTACAGGTACACACACACAGACACACACTCACCTACAGGTACACACACACACATAGACACACACACACAGACATATACACACACACATAGCTACACACAGCTACACACACACAGCTACACACACAGGTGCACACACACACAGACACACACACACACAGCTACACACACACACAGCTACACACACACACACAGGTGCACACACAGGTGACCACTCAGAGGCTCCAAGAGGAGGAGCAGCAGCACGTGATCAGCAACACGTGATCAGCAGCAACCACCACGTGGCGATGAGCTGGACGCCACCAACACATTTCTCCAAGCTCTGCGATCCTGTATGGTATGAAGGCGTTGTGTAGGCCGACTGATGATGAGTGTCATGGGAAACCTTTTGTTGTTGTTGCCAGCATCATAGTGTGACGAATAAGAATCAGGTTGCGTACCCTTTCTGGACGTTCAAACACTCTCTATGGATTATATTTTTTGCGAGGAATCAAGTCTGTTTACGTGTGAGACAGCCCACTTGTGCGAGGCGGTGGCGGGAGAGAGATCACGCTCTGCCATACGGATGGAACAGATGGAGATTAGTCCACCCACGGGGGTAGAAGGGAATGAGATGGAACAGATGGAGATTAGTCCACCCACGGGGGTAGAAGGGAATGAGATGGAACAGATGGAGATTAGTCCACACGCGCGTAGAAGGGAGTGAGATGGAACAGATGGAGATTAGTCCACACACACGGTGTAGAAGAGAGTGAGATGGAACAGATGGAGATTAGTCCACACACGGGGGTAGAAGGGAGTGAGATGGAACAGATGGAGATTAGTCCACACACGGTGTAGAAGAGAGTGAGATGGAACAGATGGAGATTAGTCCACACGCGCGTAGAAGGGAGTGAGATGGAACAGATGGAGATTAGTCCACACACGGTGTAGAAGGGAGTGAGATGGAACAGATGGAGATTAGTCCACACACACGGTGTAGAAGAGAGTGAGATGGAACAGATGGAGATTAGTCCACACACGGTGTAGAAGGGAGTGAGATGGAACAGATGGAGATTAGTCCACACACGGTGTAGAAGAGAGTGAGATGGAACAGATGGAGATTAGTCCACACACGGTGTAGAAGGGAGTGAGATGGAACAGATGGAGATTAGTCCACACACGGTGTAGAAGGGAGTGAGATGGAACAGATGGAGATTAGTCCACACACGGTGTAGAAGGGAGTGAGATGGAACAGATGGAGATTAGTCCACCCATGGGTAGAAGGGAGTGAGATGGAACAGATGGTGATTAGTCCACACACGGTGTAGAAGAGAGTGAGATGGAACAGATGGTGATTAGTTCACACACGCGCGTAGAAGGGAGTCAGATGGAACAGATGGAGATTAGTCCACACACGGTGTAGAAGGGAGTGAGATGGAACAGATGGTGATTAGTCCACACACACGGGGTAGAAGGGAGTGAGATGGAACAGATGGAGATTAGTCCACCCATGGGTAGAAGGGAGTGAGATGGAACAGATGGAGATTAGTCCACACACTTTGCAGGCCGGATTCGGATGTCCCCACCCCGTACGGATGGCTGGAGCCCCGGGAGGAGGGTGAGGAGGGGGGGGAGCCTCCGTGTGGCTCCGCCCTCAAATCGGCACGAGCCGCCAACCTCAGCGCCTACGCCTGCTCCGGGTAGGTGGACCGCACCACCAACATCACCACCACCATCAACATCAACACCACCACCTCCACCACCACCTCCTCCACCACCTCCACCACCAACAATAACCCCACTACTGCCACCACCCATCTCCACTGCCACCACCACCACCACCACCAACCTCACCACCACTGCCACCACCACCACCATCTCCACCACTACCACCACCTCCACCACCACCACCAACACCACCACCAACAACCCCACCACCACCACCTCCACCACCACCAACATCAACCCCACCACCGCCACCACCACCAACAACCCCACCACCACCACCTCCACCACCACCACCACCATCAACCCCACCACCGCCACCACCACCAACAACCCCACCACCACCACCACCACCAACAACCCCACCACCACCACCGCCACCACCACCTCCACCACCATCAACCCCACCACCTTCACCACCACCACCATCTCCACCACCACCACCATCAACCCCACCACCTTCACCACCACCATCTCCACCACTACCACCACCAACAATAACCCCACCACCAACATCAACCTCACCACCACCACTGCCACCACCACCACCATCACAAACATCAACCCCACCACCACCACCATCTCCACCACCACCAACATCAATCCCACCTCCACCTTCACCATCTCCACCACCACCCCCTCCCCTCCCCCCCCCAGCAAGAGCGAGCTGGTGGCCTGGGCCGTGTCCCACGGGGGCGCCGCGTCTGGCCGCGACGCCTACCACCGCGAGCTGGCGCTCCACCTGCGCGTGGCCGTGTACGGCCGCGGCGCCGGCCGCACGGCCCTGCCCCAACTCCCCGCGGCGGCGGCGGGGGGTACGGCCCCGGTCCTCTCCCGCTACCTCTTCTACCTCGCCTTCGAGAACGCGCGCTCCCGCCACTACGTCACCGAGAAGCTGTGGGCCAACGCCCTGGGCTCCGCGGCCGCCGTGCCCGTCGCCCTGGGGCCCCCGCGGGCCGACTACGAGCGGGCGACGCTGCCGCCCGCCGCCTTCCTGCACGTGGACGACTTCGCGTCGCCCCGCGAGCTGGCGCTTCGCCTGCGGGCGCTGGCGGCCGACGGGGCGGCGTACGGGCGCATGCACGCGTGGCGGCGGCGCTACCGGGCGCGGAGCGCGCGCGGCTGGGACGAGCGGCTGTGCGCCGTGTGCCGGAGACTCGGGAGGAGCGGGGGGGCGGCGGTGGAGGGGGGGGCGGCGAGGGGGGACATTGCGGAGTGGTTCGCGGGGGGGGATTGAAGGGGTCTCGGTGAGGTCTCGGTGGGGTGAGGGGTCTTCCTGGTGAGGTCCTGGTGGGGTGAGGGGTCCTGGTGAGGTCTCGGTGGGGTGAGGGGTCTTCCTGGTGAGGTCCTGGTGGGGTGAGGGGTCCTGGTGAGGTCTCGGTGGGGTGAGGGGTCTTCCTGGTGGGGTCTCGGTGAGGTCTCGTTGGGGTCTCGGTGGGGTGAGGGGTCTTCCCGGTGGGGTCCTGGTGGGGTCCCGGTGGGGTGAGGGGTCTTCCCGGTGGGGTCCTGGTGGGGTCCCGGTGGGGTCCTGGTGGGGTGAGGGGTCTTCCCGGTGGGGTCCTGGTGGGGTCCCGGTGGGGTCCTGGTGGGGTGAGGGGTCTTCCCGGTGGGGTCCTGGTGGGGTCCCGGTGGGGTCCTGGTGGGGTGAGGGGTCTTCCCGGTGCCGCGTGCGTTCTGGTGCCGGGGCTGTGGATCGCCCCTTGCCACTTGAAATCAGGCGGGGGGAGTCTGTGGGTGTGCAGGGAGCTTTGAAAAAACGTTAGCGCTCACATGGGACTGTCGTTAAACAGGTAGGAACAATGTTCCACACTGCCCACCGGGGATTATTTGTCTGTCTGACTATCTGTCGTGCATAAATATATATACAATATAAACAGCTCTTTGATTGGTGGAGACCTCCTGCCGGGTACGGAGAGGGGAGGGGCCTAAGGGAGGGGGGAGTCAGGGGAGGGGCCTGAGGGGGGGGGGGGGATCAGGGGAGGGGCCTAAGGATATGGGGGGGGGGTCAGGGAGGGGCCTAAGGGGCTGCCTGGCTCCCTAAAGTCACGTGATCTTGTACACAGGTAAGAACAACAGGTTCCACACTGCCCACCAGGGAGTATTTGTCCGTCTGTCGTGCACGAATGCGCCGTCCAACCAAGTTCCTACCTGCCCACTCCGAAGGAACGTGTTTAATGGAAACAGAAACGGATAACGACAGTGTGACGTGATCAAAAATGTGATGTCAGTAGCTTCAGAAAGTCAGAGAGTCTCTCGCACGTGTTCGCCATCGTTGTCAACACGTGGCCTGGAATCTTCTACAGGTGGTGGTCTCCAGAGCCCAGAGGCAGCAACATTTCTCGTGGCGTGCATTTTTATTTGAAGCCCCCTGCTTTGAAGTCTGAAACCCCATCTCGTCAACACGCCCTTCCCTCCGTCCTTTGGTTGGGTACCCCTCCTGGTTGTAAGTTTCCTGATTTTCGTGCACTACGTATTGGGAATTTTAGGGTGGTATGCACAATTATACATTTTAATTATTGTTATTAATCAGCTCGCCTGGTATGCAGGAGGTCGTGGGTTTGATCCCGACCCTGACGAAACCTGCTGTATATTTGGAGTCTCTCTCGCTCTCATCATCACGGTGGCCAGGAGATGTTAACTACCTCGCCTGGTGTACAGGAGGTCGTGGGTTCGATCCCGACCCTGACGATGCCTGCTGGAAATTAGGAGTCTGCGTCTCTCTCATCATCATCATCACGGTGAATAGGAGATGTTAACTACCTCGCCTGGTATGCAGGAGGTCGTGGGTTTGATCCCGACCCTGACGCCTGCTGCTGCTGTATATTTGGAATCTGTCTCTCTCCCCGTGGTCGCGTAGATGTGTTTTCCTCCGGGTCCTCCAATTTTTCCCCTCCACATTTAGCTTCACGTTTAGAGTACTTGGCAGCTACACGTTTTCTACATGAGCCACTTCGTCGAACTATCATTCGCTTCTGAAAAGCAGCTACCTTAGCCGAGTGGGGCTTTACCTGGTGCAATTAAAATAGTTTATTGGCATCAGTCTGCCAGTAGGGTGGAGTGGGGGGGGGTGATGGTTGTGTGCGAGATCTCACATGCACATAGTCTGGCACAAGCGCCGTGGTGACGTCCCCACCACTTCGTGGCGAATGGAAGTTGCTGTTGCGGCCATCCCAATGGAGCCACTAAAATTGGTGATATTATTTTAATGTTTTTGTTTAACACGCAAGCAAAAGCTTTCGCGACCATATTAACCTTTGTTGTTAAATCGTTTATATTAAGTTCACTTGCTTGCGCGCTTACGACCGTGCAAATCTTTCGGTCGTTTTTTATTTAAATCCTTTATATTAAGTTCGCTTGCTTGCGCGCTTACGACCGTGCAAATCTTTCGGTCGTTTTTTAACCCACTTCCCGTGATCCAATCGAGCTGACATTAACACTTTTTAGGAACAAAAAATTATATGTAATTACCAATTGCTTAATGGTGGCAGGCAATCATCTGACCCATAGGTGGCAGCCATCTCAAGCCAGAGGACGAGAGGACTCTAGCCGCCACGCATATAAAGGATTTAGTGAAAAACTGGTTTTACGGGTGAATTTTTATTTGTATCCATTCCTCCTACCTCCGATGACCACGGTTGGCTCTGTGCGGTGCGAAAGAAGTTCAACAACACACACGATCCCACCCTCCCCCCGCAGAGCGACAGAATGTTGGGGCAAGTGCTGTGAGCGAGTAGCACCTATGAAGGCTGCCGGCACCGTGTGGCACACGAGGGGGTGGGTGGCCAGCGCCACGCCCGGCCGCCTTTGTCACTCCACAGTGGCGATGTTTACAAACGCATTTGAGGCCGAGTCGACCTAGGGGAGACCCAGGACCGGGTTCAGATAATCGTCACCGGTGTTGGTGGCCGTGAGCGGGAATCGAACTCGGGTCGCCGGGTTTGTGGTGCAGCGTAGCGCTAACCGCGGCGCCACCACTCCTGGTACACACACGCTGCGAATATTTTAAATGACAAAATTCCACCGTTGTACAAACGACGCGTTGATTTTTGTTGTTACCTTTAAAAGTATATTTATTTGGTTGTTCGTACTACAAACGTGAAAACGGGGCATATAAAAAGAACACCAAAACTAGAAACATTCTACGGAAGAAAAAAAAAATCTATCGTTTTAAAAGAAATCTACCTTAAAAATTCGATTTAAAAACATCTATCAAGAAAAACATCTATGCCAGCATGCCGCAAATAAAGACGAGAAAATATGAGGGTGGTGGTGGGGGGGAGGGTGGGTGGTGGTTAGGAAGGGGCAGGAACAGTAACACACACACACACACACAGGTGAACGCCAGGTAGTGTGTGGGGACGGTGGGGTCAAGTGGGGCTAACGCGAGCCTCTCTTCTGAGGCGTCCATCCAGCGAGGAAGAGAGTTGGTGGACAAAATAACCTCCCCCCCCCCCCCCAATTAACGCGGTGCCCCGGTTGACGTAAAGGGAAAACCCCTTTTTCAGGGGGGGGGGGGTATTTTTTGTCGTGTAACTTTTAGAACAATATTTCAAACATTCGAGCCTAATGCAAGGTGAGAAAAAAAATCGTGAAAAAAAAACCCAATTCGAGTCCAATACGGGGTTTAAAGAATCCTCAGAAAATGTCGACACATCTGGACTAAAATACAGCCTTTAACGAATCCTTCAAATACATCCTAAAGGTTTGGGCATTACAGGCTTCAAAGCATCCTTAAAAAGTTGAGATTTTCACCATCACACCATCACCTATAGTTCACACAGAGAAACGTATAAAACCTGCACATGTGTCAAGCCCGCCGGGGTGTAAAGACAATCTCCTGAACCGCGCTGCGCCAAATTCACGAGCACGCGATGATCCAATCCTCACGTTTACTCCAAAATAAAATCAATACATTTTCTAAAAAAATCAGCGGCCATCATCGAGTCACTGCTGGATGAAGCCCCCCCCCCCCCCCCCAAAAAAAAGGCATCGTCGCCACCGCCATCTCCCGCTGTCACGCAACTAAAAAAACCCCGTCCTTGTCGATCCTGCGCGCGGAGCAGATTTCGCTTCTCCATCTCCGCAGCGGACGTTCCCCTACTCCATGCGCTTTTCCCACCATTGGCTACCAGGGCGGTCACTTTCAACGACCCACTGGGGGCCCTTTTAATGGTAGCCTTGACGGTGTTCCGGTCAAAGCCAAAACACGCGTAACGATTTCATGTCCTCTCTTATCCTCACACGAAACATCTCCACATCATCATCTACGTCTCTTCAGTCATCCTCTCTACATTTTTGGTCGCATTTAAAAATCACCTCAATAAAAAAGAATCTCTCTCGTGTCATTTCTCTCTTTTTACTGTCATCTCCAAAAGAATTTCTCCTCAGGACCCTGCAAAGGGACCAGGGCATTCTACCCACTGATAGTTTTTTGATCCCCTCCCAGACTAACAAAAGAGTCGTCTGGAACATCATCATGGTCAGATCTAGAATCTCTCGATACCAGAGGAGAGTAGAACTGCGTATTAATGCATCGTCTTCAGTCATGTATCATCATCATCATCGCTAACCGGGCAAATGACAAAACCACCGGACTTTTAATGGTCCGTGAAGACTTCGGCAATTCCCTTGGGGGTAACAGAGTTGCTGTTACCTCCCTCAAAACAACGAGATGGGTCGTGGCAAAAGCAGGTCGGGTGGCAAAAACGCCGAATGACAAAGGGCGCCTCAAGCGCCTGCGTGGTTAAGGCCGCCCCCTTTCTGAAAGTTGGCTCCGCCAGTCTGCCACAACTTCAACAACTTAGTCGTTATAGCGATCGCAAAGTCAGAAAAAAAGTAAAACTTTTCCTAGAAAATTTCGAAAGCCACAAATTAAAACGTACAGAAACATTTCCCAGAGGCTCCCTAGACTAGCTAGTCCCAAGTTCAACTAGGCCTCCGTTAACAGTACAGCTTTAAAATTAGTCCAGTAAACACATCTGCTGTTTCATTTATACCATATTGTTTGGACAAGTATTTGAATGCTAAAGGACGTTGACAATAACATTTCCGTGTCGTATTTTAGGTAGGAGATGAACCCACATTTTGAAGAATATAAAGTCATGCCTGCACTTGATTTGTTTTTAAAGATAAAGTACTTCATAGAGTTCTCTCACATCCAACAGAAGAACTAGAGCTAGTCCCAGACATTCATTGCAAAGCTTCAGAAGTCAACAGGCACCAACGTGGATGTAAAAAAAGGTTACTGTGCTACCAAGTTTAAAACCCGAACCTTCTTAGACATCAAAACGCCCTAGCCCAGTCACACAAATCGCGTAGCCTTTTATTGTTGGGGGTCATTTTGGTTTTTACATATATGTCACATCTTTCCTCGGGCAGAGTCTAGCCGAGTTGCAGTCTTGCTTGCCTCTCTACACAACGAGATCCTACCCCTCCCTTCCTAGTCTCACCTGCTGCCCTCTGGCGTGAGGGCCGTGTTTATTAGGTCACGGCTCGGCTCAGGCTCAAGCGAGCCGGCTCAAAAGAAGCCACGCTTAAAATTAGAGCCGACTATGAAAATGATCACAGCCACTCTCAGGATTTGAAACGATCCGAAACAGCCCCAAAGCCATGGCCAAGCCATTCACCGACACACCTTTGGAAGCAAATGAGCAGTGCAAGCCTGAGTTGGGCGTGTTAGAGAGCAGGGCCTGAGTTGGGTCGTGTTAGAGACCAGGGCCTGAGTTGGGCCGTGTTAGAGACCAGGGTCTGAGTTGGGCGTGTTAGAGAGCAGGGCCGTGTTAGAGAGCAGGGTCTGAGTTGGGCGTGTGAGAGAGCAGGGTCTGAGTTGGGCCGTGTTAGAGAGCAGGGCCTGAGTTGGGTCGTGTTAGAGACCAGGGCCGTGTTAGAGAGCAGGGTCTGAGTTGGGCGTGTGAGAGAGCAGGGTCTGAGTTGGCCGTGTTAGAGACCAGGGTCTGAGTTGGGCGTGTGAGAGAGCAGGGTCTGAGTTGGCCGTGTTAGAGACCAGGGCCGTGTTAGAGAGCAGGGTCTGAGTTGGGCGTGTTAAAGAGCAGGGCCTGAGTTGGCCGTGTTAGAGACCAGGGTCTGAGTTGGCCGTGTTAGAGACCAGGGCCTGAGTTGGCCGTGTTAGAGACCAGGGTCTGAGTTGGCCGTGTTAGAGACCAGGGTCTGAGTTGGGTCGTGTTAGAGACCAGGGCCGTGTTAGAGACCAGGGTCTGAGTTGGCCGTGTTAGAGACCAGGGCCTGAGTTGAGCGTGTTAGAGACCAGGGTCTGAGTTGGCCGTGTTAGAGACCAGGGCCTGAGTTGGGTCGTGTTAGAGACCAGGGCCGTGTTAGAGACCAGGGTCTGAGTTGGCCGTGTTAGAGACCAGGGCCTGAGTTGAGCGTGTTAGAGACCAGGGTCTGAGTTGAGCGTGTTAGAGACCAGGGTCTGAGTTGGGCCGTGTGAGAGACCAGGGCCTGAGTTGGGTCGTGTTAGAGACCAGGGCCGTGTTAGAGACCAGGGTCTGAGTTGGCCGTGTTAGAGACCAGGGCCTGAGTTGGGCCGTGTGAGAGACCAGGGCCTGAGTTGGGTCGTGTTAGAGACCAGGGTCTGAGTTGGGTCGTGTTAGAGACCAGGGCCGTGTTAGAGACCAGGGTCTGAGTTGGCCGTGTTAGAGACCAGGGTCTGAGTTGGCCGTGTTAGAGACCAGGGTCTGAGTTGGCCGTGTTAGAGACCAGGGCCTGTGTTGGGTCGTGTTAGAGACCAGGGCCGTGTTAGAGACCAGGGTCTGAGTTGGGTCGTGTTAGAGACCAGGGCCGTGTTAGAGACCAGGGTCTGAGTTGGGTCGTGTTAGAGAGCACGGTCTGAGTTGGGCCGTGTTAGAGACCAGGGTCTGAGTTGGGTCGTGTTAAAGAGCACGGTCTGAGTTGGGCGTGTTAGAGAGTAGGGTCTGAGTTGGGCCGTGTGAGAGACCAGGGCCGTGTTAGAGACCAGGGTCTGAGTTGGGCGTGTTAGAGAGTAGGGTCTGAGTTGGGCCGTGTGAGAGACCAGGGTCTGAGTTGGGCGTGTTAGAGAGCAGGGCCGTGTTAGAGACCAGGGTCTGAGTTGGGCGTGTTAGAGACCAGGGCCGTGTTAGAGAGCAGGGTCTGAGTTGGGCGTGTTAGAGAGTAGGGTCTGAGTTGGGCGTGTTAGAGAGCAGGGTCTGAGTTGGCCGTGTTAGAGAGCAGGGTCTGAGTTGGGCCGTGTGAGAGACCAGGGTCTGAGTTGGGCGTGTTAGAGAGCAGGGCCGTGTTAGAGACCAGGGTCTGAGTTGGGCGTGTTAGAGACCAGGGCCGTGTTAGAGAGCAGGGTCTGAGTTGGGCGTGTTAGAGAGTAGGGTCTGAGTTGGCCGTGTTAGAGACCAGGGCCTGTGTTGGGTCGTGTTAGAGACCAGGGCCGTGTTAGAGACCAGGGTCTGAGTTGGGTCGTGTTAGAGACCAGGGCCGTGTTAGAGACCAGGGTCTGAGTTGGGTCGTGTTAGAGAGCACGGTCTGAGTTGGGCCGTGTTAGAGACCAGGGTCTGAGTTGGGTCGTGTTAAAGAGCACGGTCTGAGTTGGGCGTGTTAGAGAGTAGGGTCTGAGTTGGGCCGTGTGAGAGACCAGGGCCGTGTTAGAGACCAGGGTCTGAGTTGGGCGTGTTAGAGAGTAGGGTCTGAGTTGGGCCGTGTGAGAGACCAGGGTCTGAGTTGGGCGTGTTAGAGAGCAGGGCCGTGTTAGAGACCAGGGTCTGAGTTGGGCGTGTTAGAGACCAGGGCCGTGTTAGAGAGCAGGGTCTGAGTTGGGCGTGTTAGAGAGTAGGGTCTGAGTTGGGCGTGTTAGAGAGCAGGGTCTGAGTTGGCCGTGTTAGAGAGCAGGGTCTGAGTTGGGCCGTGTGAGAGACCAGGGTCTGAGTTGGGCGTGTTAGAGAGCAGGGCCGTGTTAGAGACCAGGGTCTGAGTTGGGCGTGTTAGAGACCAGGGCCGTGTTAGAGAGCAGGGTCTGAGTTGGGCGTGTTAGAGAGTAGGGTCTGAGTTGGGCGTGTTAGAGAGCAGGGTCTGAGTTGGCCGTGTTAGAGAGCAGGGTCTGAGTTGGGCGTGTTAGAGAGTAGGGTCTGAGTTGGTCGTGTTAGAGACCAGGGTCTGAGTTGGGCGTGTTAGAGAGCAGGGTCTGAGTTGGGCGTGTTAGAGAGTAGGGTCTGAGTTGGGCGTGTTAGAGACCAGGGTCTGAGTTGGCCGTGTTAGAGACCAGGGTCTGAGTTGGGCGTGTTAGAGAGTAGGGTCTGAGTTGGGCGTGTTAGAGACCAGGGTCTGAGTTGGGCGTGTTAGAGAGTAGGGTCTGAGTTGGGCGTGTTAGAGACCAGGGCCGTGTTAGAGAGCAGGGTCTGAGTTGGGCGTGTTAGAGAGTAGGGTCTGAGTTGGGCGTGTTAGAGAGCAGGGTCTGAGTTGGCCGTGTTAGAGAGCAGGGTCTGAGTTGGGCCGTGTGAGAGACCAGGGTCTGAGTTGGGCGTGTTAGAGAGCAGGGCCGTGTTAGAGACCAGGGTCTGAGTTGGGCGTGTTAGAGACCAGGGCCGTGTTAGAGAGCAGGGTCTGAGTTGGGCGTGTTAGAGAGCAGGGTCTGAGTTGGCCGTGTTAGAGAGCAGGGTCTGAGTTGGGCGTGTTAGAGAGTAGGGTCTGAGTTGGTCGTGTTAGAGACCAGGGTCTGAGTTGGGCGTGTTAGAGAGCAGGGTCTGAGTTGGGCGTGTTAGAGAGTAGGGTCTGAGTTGGGCGTGTTAGAGACCAGGGTCTGAGTTGGCCGTGTTAGAGACCAGGGTCTGAGTTGGGCGTGTTAGAGAGTAGGGTCTGAGTTGGGCGTGTTAGAGACCAGGGTCTGAGTTGGGCGTGTTAGAGAGTAGGGTCTGAGTTGGGCGTGTTAGAGACCAGGGTCTGAGTTGGGCGTGTTAGAGAGCAGGGTCTGAGTTGGGCGTGTTAGAGAGCAGGGTCTGAGTTGGGCGTGTTAGAGAGTAGGGTCTGAGTTGGGCGTGTTAGAGAGCAGGGTCTGAGTTGGCCGTGTTAGAGAGTAGGGTCTGAGTTGGGCGTGTTAGAGACCAGGGTCTGAGTTGGGCGTGTTAGAGAGCAGGGTCTGAGTTGGGCGTGTTAGAGAGCAGGGTCTGAGTTGGGCGTGTTAGAGAGTAGGGTCTGAGTTGGGCGTGTTAGAGACCAGGGTCTGAGTTGGGCGT